TGTGTATTACCTTTAAAAGAATAAAACTTATAATGAGAGCTGAGTTCCCAATACAAAGACCGGACCACAGAGAAAGTTAGGGAATGGTGTCCTCAAAGTGCTAAGGAGAAAATGCCAATCTAAAATTCTATACCCAGTAAAACTATCCTTTAAAAATTAAAAATGAGGGCGCCTGGGTGGTCCAGTTGATTAAATGTCTGACTTCGGCTCAGATCGTGATCTCCCGGTTCATGGGTTCAAGCCCCACACCAGGCTCTCTGCTCTCAGGGCCCCTTTCCATCCATGTTTATAGTGGCATAATTCGCAATAGCCAAAAGGTGAAAATAACCCACCTGTCTGTAGATGGATGAAGGGATAACCCAACGTGGTGCATCCACACAATAGAATATTATTCATCCATAAAAAAGGGTACATGAGGCATCGACACAGGCTATGACACGGATGAACCCTGAAAACATTCTGTTAAATAAAAAAGCCAGACACAAAAGGACAAGTATTATATGATTCCAATTATAGGAGGTACATAGAGTTTATTTTTATCTAATTGAGAGAGAAAGAGAGAGAGAGAGAGAACAAATGGGGAGGGGCAGAGAGAGAGGCAGAATCCCAAGCAGGCTCCAAGCTAGCAGCAAAGAGCCCGATGCCAGGCTTGAACTGATGAACCGTGAGATCATGACCTGAGCCAGAATCAAGAGTTGGATGCTTAACCAACTGAGCCTCATGCGGCGGCCCCCTGTGAGGCACTTAGAACTGTCAGTCATAGAGACGGAAAGCAGATACAGGTTAAGGGCTGGAGGAAAAAGGAAGCGGGGAGTATGCACTAAAATTGTGCCAAGTGACTGATGTGAGCCTTCTGTGACCATCTCAAGTGACTTCAAGGAAGAATCAAAAATTGGAAGAACTAGGGCGCCCGGGTGGCCCAGTTGGTTGAGCGTCTGACTTTGGCTCAGGTCACAATATCATGGTTTGTGAGTTTGAGCCCCGCGCTGGGTTCTGTATGGACAGCCTGGAGCCTGTTTCAGGGTCTGTGTCTCCCTCTCTGTCCTCCTCTGCCCATGCTCTGTCTCTCTCTCTTTCTCAAAAATTAATAAACATTAAATAAATTTTTAAGAATTAAAAAAAAACAGGAAGAACTGACAAACCAGTTAAGCAGAGGCATCCAAGCATTATTTCTAAATATTTTTTTAATGTTTTTTTATTTATTTCTAGGAGAGAGAGAAAGACAGTGTGAGCAGGGGAGGGTCAGATAGAGAGGGAGTCACAGACTGAAACAGGCTCCAGGCTCTGAGCTGGCAGTCAGCACAGAGCCCGACGCGGGGCTCAAACCCACGAACCGCGAGATCATGACCTAAGCGAAAGTCGGACGCTTAACCGACTACGCCACCCAGGCGCCCCTATTTCTAAACAATCAGATGGAATAGAAACATAATGTATTGATATGACTTGAAGGTCTTTCTCCTGCTTGGTGGAAATCAGCAAACCTTAATTTTTACAACCGAAACAAATTATACCTTGTGACGCTCAAGTATTTGGAGAACTTCTTGCAAACAGGGATACACTTCTCCCTTTTGTCCGTATGATCCCCCGCAGCTAACAAGCTTTGGACCAGTTCTTCTAATGTTTATTTATTTTTGACAGAGAGAGAGAGAGAGAGAGAAAGTTTATTTATTTTTGACAGAAAGAAAGAGAGAGCCAGTGGGGGAGGGGCAGAGAGCAAGGGAGACACAGAATCCAAAACAGGCTCCAGGCTCTGAGCTGTCAGCACAGAGCCTGATGCAGGGCTTGAACCCATGGACCATGAGATCATGACCTGAGCTGAAATCAGATGCTTAACTGACTGAGCCACCCAGGTGCCCCTGGAGCAGTTCTTTTAAAAAAAACTTTTTTGGGGGGGGGGGCACCTGGGTTCGAGCCCTGCGTCGGGCTCTGTGCTGACAGCTAGCTCAGAGCCTGGAGCCTGTTTCAGATTCTGTGTCTCCCTCTCTGACCCTCCCCTGTTCACGCTCTCTCTTTCTCTCTCTCAGAAATAAAAACATTTTGTAAAAGATGTTTTAAACTTTTTTTAAAAGTTTTTTAATGTTTTTTATTTATTTCTAGGAGAGAGAAGAGAGAGAGACAGCATGAGCAGGGAAGGGTCAGAGAGACAGGGAGTCACAGTCTCCGAAATAGGCTCCAGGCTCTGAGCTGGCAGTCAGCACAGAGCCCGACGCGGGGCTCGAACCCACGAACCGCGAGATCATGACCTAAGCGAAAGTCGGACGCTTAACCGACTGAGCCACACAGGCGCCCCCAAAATTTTTTTTGTGGGGCTCAAATTGACAAACTGCAAGATCGTGACCTGAGCCACTGCCGGACACCCAACCAACTGAGCCACCCAGGCACCCCTAAAAATTGTTGTTTAATGTTTAGTTATTTTTGAGAGAGAGAGAGAGAGAGAGAGAGAGCTCATGCAAGTGGTGGAAGGGCAGAGAGAAAGGTACAGAGGATCCAAAGTGGGCTCTGTCCTGAGAGCAGAAGCCTAATTAAGGGCTCGAACTCATAAACCTGAGCCAAAGTCAGACGCTTAACGGACTGAGCCACCCAGGCGCCCCTGGAGCAGTCCTTCAGAGCCATGGAAAAGCATTTCCCAGGCCTTGGTGCACAAAGGTTGGTTTTCTTTCAGTGGACCTGTTGACGGTACAGAATTTTAGCTTGGAAAGATGAGAAAGTTCTGGAGACAGATGGTGGTGATGATTCCACAACAGTGGGAATGCGCTTAATGCCACCGCCCTGTACCCTTCAACAGTGGTTAACATGGAAATGTCTATGTATATTTTGTCGCAACAAAAAATGTGCCTAGTGGGGGTGGGGGTGGGGGGAGACAGATGAATGGACAGAGCATAGAGGATTTTTAGGGCAGTGAGAACATTTTATAAAAGTGGACCTAGGTCATTATCCATTTGTCCAAATCCATAGAATATACAACATCAGGGGCGCCTGGGTGCCTCAGTCGGAGAAGCAAGCGACTCTTGATCTCGTTCGTGGTTGTGAGTTCGAGCCCCACATTGGGGGTAGAGATTACTTAAATAAATAAAATATACATAAAATATTTGTTCAAAGAATATACAACACCGAGAGTGAACCCTAAGGTAAACTGTGGACTTTGGGTGATGACCCTGTATCAACGTAGGTTTATCTCTAATTTATAAAAAAAAAAAAAAAGTATGGGGCTCCTGGGTGGCTCAGTGGGTTAAGCATCTGACTCGTGATCTCAGCTCAGGTCTTGATCTCATGAGGGTGAGTTGAACCCCCGCATTGGGCTTCACGCCCAGTGTGAAAAAAAATAATTAAAAATAACTAAAAATTAATTAATTAAAATTTTATTAAGATTAAAGTTTTTTACAATAAACTATTTGTAAAAAAAATAAATAAATAAAAAAAATAAATAAAAAATTAAAAAAAAAAAAAAAGTTTTTTAAAAGGTAGCATTCCAGTGACTAGTGTTGATAAGAGAGGAAACTATGCATGTTTGGGGACAGAAGGCATATGGGACATCTCTGTACCTCCTCAGTTTTGCTGTAAACCTAATACTGCTTTAATAATAATAGTCTTTTTTAATCTTTTTTTAAAATTTTTATTTATTTTTGAGAGAGAGAGAGACACAGAGTGTGAGTGGGAGAGGAGCAGAGAGAAGGGGAGACACAGAATCCGAAGCAGGCTCCAGACTCCGAGCTGTCAGCACAGAGCCCGATGCTGGGCTTGAACCCACAAACGGCGAGATCATGACCTGACCCGACTAAGCCACCCTAATAAAGTCTTTTTAAAATATATTTTTTAAAATTTTTAATGCTTATTTAATTTGGAGAGAGAGAGTGTGCAAGCAGGGGAGGAACAGAGAGAGAGGGAGACACAGAATCGGAAGCAGACTCCAGGCTCTGAGCTGTCAGCACGGAGCCCAACTTGGCTCAAACTCACAAACTGTGAGATCATGACCTGAGCCAAAGTTGGACGCTTAACCCACTGAGCCTCCCAGTCGCCCCATAAAGTCTTGTTTAAAAACAAAGTTTAGGGGCACCAAGCTGTCTCAGTCTGTGCTGCACTGGACTCTTTTTTCTTTTTTTATAATTTTTTTTACATTTATTTATTTTTGAGAGACCGAGAGAGACGGAGCGTGAACACGGACTCTTGATCTCAGGGTTGTGAGTTTGACCCCCCACCTTGGGTGAGAGATTACTTTTTAAAAAATGAGTTTAGGTATAAAGTCATATGAGGCCGTGTAAGCTTCAGGGTAGAACTGCATTACTCGAAATGAGACATTTCTTTTTTTTTTTTTAATGTTTTATTTATTTCTAGGAGAGAGAGAGAGAGAGACAGCGTGAGCAGGGGAGGGTCAGAGAGTGAGGGAGTCACAGACTGAAACAGGCTTCAGGCTCTGAGCTGGCAGTCAGCACAGAGCCCGACGCGGGGCTCGAACCCACGAACCCCGAGATCATGACCCAAGCGAAAGTCGGACGCTTAACCGACTAAGCCACCCAGGCGCCCCGAAATGGGACGTTTCTTAAAAGCTTAATTGATTTAACTGACTTTCCCCGGCTCCCTATCCCTTCTTTCCTAGGGAGCCCGGCAACCGGCGGGGCTGGCCTCAATCTCTGGGGGAGGGCAGGAGGGGAGGGGCAGGAGGGGAGGTGGGGCGGGGAGGAGGCGGGAACGGGGCGGGGGTGGGGTGGGGAGGACGTTACTCAGGCCTGGCTTGGGGACCGTCCAAAAGAAATCTCCTAGTCGAGGCTGGAAGCGTTACTCCGCGGACCCGCTTCGCGGGCACTTGCAGGTTAGGTGACCCTCCAGTTTAAACGAATCTGGGTTTTTTAACAGCGGCTGGGCCAGGGGGGAGGTGGGGGTTGCTGAGGCCGTGTCCTCGCCGGCTAGATTCAGGCAGCTGTTCTCTTTCCTTGGAATTTGGGATCCGGGGACGTTCTTGCCCCTCGCGGGAGGTTCGCCGGTTCGATCCCAGTAACGGTCAGCACAGATTTTGTTAGAACTGTTTGTGCAGACCTCGCAGGTCACCGGCTAGTCAACGCTCACGGGGTGAGGGAGGTAGCGAAAGGAAAAGGGGGGGACTGAGAGGGAAACTGAGGCCCCCTCCTCCAGACTGCGCCCTCTTCCAGGGCAGAGAAAAGCCTTCCTTTCCTTCGAGAAGTGGCTGGGGAGAAAGTTCGGCAAGACCCTTGGTGCGGGGGTGGGGATTGGGGGGGTCCCAGGGCGGGGCTGGCGTGCAGGTCCCGGGATCCCCTCCCTGCTGGCTCCTCCTTCCCCTGCCCCCACCCCTCCAGCCTTCCATTTTGAGAAGTGGGGGCGGGGGGAGGGGGTCCGGAAGCAGCTACCAAAGGCCTGGACAGGACGAATCGCTGTCGTCGATCCCCGTGGGGGGTGGGGTGGGGTGGGGGGCGTCGATTTTTATTGTATCTGCTTATTAATTATTATTTTTGCAATCCCATCCCTCTCTCGTCTGCAGCCCTGCAACCCTCCATCTAGTGCAGGGAATGAGCTCTTGCGCCGCGCCACCCACAGATGCGTCCCGAAGCCGGCGCCGCAGAGATGGTGAGCGTGCGCGGTTGTCGCACGGCCCACACCGCGGGCGGGACCGGGTCGGATTCCGGGGAGTCGGGAGCAGCGGTCCGCGGAGGCCTGTTTGTCTCCGCCCTGGAGGGGAGGGGAAGCCGGGAGTGGCCCACGCGCTGAGCCCTAAGTGCGCCCCTCACCTCGCCCCGGAGGAAGGGGCCGCCCCCCCCCCCGCCGTGGTCCTTGATGCGGGCAGGGAGACACCTGCGTGCAGCGGGGGCTGGGGGGGCGGGGGGTGCTGTTCGGATCCATTAAAGTCTTGGAGCCCGTCGTGATTAGGGCAAACTGGAAAATTCCGGGCGCATTCAGATCGAGAGAGGATGGCCATCGGGTTCTCTTCTCCCAGAGAAAGGATTTCGGGGGCCGAGTTTGGCCCATCGGGCACTTTCTTTCTTTGGGGGGAAAGGCGTTCAAGTGGAAAAGTCAGGATCAGCCCCCACGGCCTGAACGAATTGCTTGTTTGTTACTACTACCCCAGTAAGGTCTGGTTCACGGACCCTAACGCGGCGGGGCGGGGGGTGTCAGGGTTCATACGCCAGACGCAGCTGTTTTCTCTTCTACCTGCTTTCCTGAGACGACCCAGGATCGGGCGTTCTCTTTGTTTCCCACTGTCCCCAAACTAAGTGTCTGCGATCACCAGGGACTTACCTAGAGCCCCAGGTGTAAGGGTTTGTTGCAAGGAGAGAGATCGATGGCACCTGAGAGGAAGCTGTCAAACGAAGGGTTGGAGTTATTATGGGGGGGGGGGAGTGGGGAGGGGCGCCCATAGAGGGTGGAAATCAGGATCCGGGCTTAAATAGGCTCCAACCCAAGGCTCCAACCCAGCTGAACGTAAAGGAGTTATCTGGTCTGGATGGTCCCTTGGAAACTACAAGGTCAAGATAGATGAGGAATGCCGCGTCCCAGTCCCCTTATCTGAAGTCCTGCCCCAGGTTGCAGATCGAGGCCACGTCTCCGTCAGAGTGACTCAGGATTCCCCAGGCAAGAGTGGAATGTTCTTTTCTTACCGATATGATATGATATCAAATGGGCTACAAGTTTTAGGAAACAAAGCTTATCAGTGAGTTAGAAAACAGCTTAGTAAGGGGAGAAAACAAGTCCCTTTGACTTTGCTGCCGGCTTCATCCCTGGCTGGCTGGTCGCGTCTCCTGCGGGCGACTGGCTGTGAGGATTTTGCATCCGCTCTTTTCACAAAGACAGGGCTGTCTGTCATCACCTGCTCCCCCCCGCCCCCGGCACTTAATGACTTCATAGTATTTGAGTGTCATAGTTCTTTTGGCCTTGTGAAAACCTGGGTTCACGTAAACCCCAGAGGAGTAAGTACAACGAGATCCTGGGCGCCAACACAAATATGGGACATTTTTGAAAGCAAAGTTAGAACGGTTGCCTCTTAAACGGAATCGGTGTATTTAAGATGTGGGAATTCGGTTCATGAGTTCGAGCCCCACGTCGGGCTCCGTGCAGACAGTGTGAAGCCTGCTTGGGATTCTCTCTCTCCTCTCTCTCTGCCCCTTCCCCGTGTGCTCTCTCTGTCTCCCAAAGTAAATAAACTTTAAAAAGTTAAGTTTAGAAGAAGATGTGGGAACACAGTTCCTCCTAGAAGACCACTCTCATTTCTGCCAAGTTGAGTCCCTGGAGAATTCTGAAGCCATTAACTCTTTCCAATAGAAGGAACTCTTATTTTAGCAAGAAAACGGGACTTCAGAGTAAAAAAGCCACCCTCGTCAGTTGCATTGGAAATCCTTTCACTGTAAACTGTTTTTTGCTTAAAATTTTTTTAACGTTGACTCTTTTTTCTTATTTTGCTTAATAATTTATTTTGGGGATGTGTCATAGATCAGTGTGTTTGAAAAATTGCTGTGCTGGGGGCACCTGGGTTGGCCCAGTTAAGCATCCAACATTGGCTCTGGTTATGATCTCTTGGTTTGTGAGTTCGAGCCCTGCTTCGGGCTCTGTGCTGACAACTCGGAGCCTGGAGCCGGCTTCGCATTCTGTGTCTCCCTCTCTCTCTGCTCCTTCTCCACTCTCACTCTGTCTGTCTCTTAAAAATAAATAAACATTTAAAAAGTTTTTAATATGACTGGGGCACCTGGCTGGCTTGGTGGGTTGGAGGAGCCTGTGACTCATGATCTCAGGGTCATGACTTTGAACCCCACGTTGGGTGTAGAGGTTACTTAAAAAAAATAAGTAAACTTAAAAAAAGAATAAAAACATTACTGCTAGAGTTTCTCAGCGAGATAATGTTGTGGTCACATTTTAAGATTCCTTGCTCTTTAGAGCATTTCATTTTCCCTTTATTATTTATGTTCACATTTTGTGTGATTTAACGCAAATGGCTAGAAAGTTCTTTTGTACTGGAGCACCTGGGTGGCTGAGTAGGTTAAGTGTCCGACTTTGGCTCAGGTCATGATCTTGAGGTTCGTGGGTTTAAGCCCTCCCCCCACCCCAACCATCAGGCTCTCTTCTGACAGCTCAGAACCTTGGGCCTGCTTCAAATTCTGTGTCTGTCTGTCTCTCTCTCAAAAATAAATAAACATTAAAAAAATAGAAAGTTCTTTTGTACTACTAAGGTTTTTCCCTCTCTCTCTGTATTTAAAGATTTTATTTTTAAGAAACCTCTGCATCCAACATGGGGCTCGAACTCAATACCCCGGGACAAGAGTCTCACACTCTATAGCCAGCCAGGAGCCCGTGTACTACTAAGCTTTTTAAAACCGAGAATGAGAGGTACCTGGCTGGCTCAGTCAGTGGAGTGTAGGACTCTTGATCTCGGGATTGTGGGTTCGAGCCCCACGTTGGGTATAGAGAATACTTAAAATAAAACTTTTTCAAAAATAAATAAAAAATAAAATAAAAGCAATAATGGATTGGCTGTAAGGTTGCGTGGCAGAATAAATAAATAAAATTAAGTTTAAAAAATGTTAATGTTTATTTTTGAGAGACAGAGCATATGTGAGGGAGGGGTAGAGAGAGAGGGAGACACAGTATCCAAAGCAGCTCCAGGCTCCAAGCTGTCAGCACAGAGCCCAACATGGGGCTTGAACCCACAAACCGTGAGATCATGACCTGAGCTGAGGCTGGACCCTTAACTGACTGAGCACCCAGGCGCCCCAATAAAATTAAGTTTTAATATATGAATTAAGTTTATGAAAAAGTTCATAAAGACAAGAGTACATAAAATTTAATAAGTAGAATTATTTTTTATTTTATTTTATATTTTACTTTATTTTATTTTACTGTATTGTATTGTATTGTATTGTATTGTATTTTAGTAGGCTCCATGCCCAACATGGGGCTTGAGCGCAGGACTCTGAGATTAGGAGCTGCACACTCTACCAACTGAGCCAGCCAGACACCCCAATTTTAGAATTTTTAAAATAATATAATAAATAGGTAGGTCCTCAGATTAAGGAATTGGACACTGCTGTTGGTCAGAGGCCCTCGGCCCATCCCTGACCCCACTGCCTTGCTTCCTTCTGGGGTTAATCACCATCTTGAAATTTTTTTTAAGTTTGTTTATTTTGAGAGAGAGAGCGTGCACTTGAATGCAGGAGAGGCAGAGAGAGAGAGAGAATCCCAAGCAGGCTCCATACTGTCAGCTCAGAGCCAGATGCAGGACTCAAACCCACAAACCCTGAGGTCATGACCTGAGCCAAAATCAAGAGTCAACGCTCAACCGACTGGGCCACCCAGGCGCCCCACCATCTTGAAGGTTCTATCGATCATTCTTTCGGTTTTCTTTCTTCCCCCCATATGTGTATATTTGAAGCATTTTCAGACCTGCAATGAAATTATAGTAAGAACAAAACGAACACCCAGGGAACCGTAAAGATTTGCAGATATTTTTACTTGTTGCTTCATTTGCTGTCTGGATGTGAATGTGTGTTCACAGATCCTCAGGCACTTTTTTTTTTTCTTTTTTGGCTGAACCACTTGAGAGAGACTTTTAGATATTGGGGCACAACACCCCTTGCACCTCAGCGCGCCTCCCCGGAAAACAGTGCCGTTCTCAGGTTTCCGCAGGACGTCCCTCGGTCTGCCCCTCTGTCGCTAACAGATGTCATAGCCGCCCCACCTTTGTCACTACTGGGACAAGAACTGCCATGATCATTTTTGACCAGGTGTCCTTCCCGCTTTTCAGGCCGAAGTTTCCTCTGACGCTTGGCTGGTGGGGAGCGGGCTGCAGGCCTGCAAAATGGGCAACAACTGGGAACTTGTTAGAAACCCCACTCAGGCTCCTCCCCAGACCTAAGAAGGCAGTTCCACAATATAAATCTTGGAGTGGAATTATGGGTGGTAGATTTGAAGCTATCAGATTTTCTTTCCTTTTGTTTTGTTTTGGTTTTTTTAATGTTTTTTATTTATTTCTGAGAGAGACCGAGCATGAGCAGGGGAGGGCCAGAGACAGAGGGAGACACAGAATCCGAAGCAGGCTCCAGGCTCTGAGCTGTCAGCACAGAGCCTGACACGGGGCTTGAACCCACGAACCATGAGATCATTACCTGAGCCGAAGTCGGTCGCTTAACTGACTGAGCCACCCAAGCACCCCTTTCTTTCCTTTTTTTAATTAAAAATGTTTAATGGTTATTTATATTTGAGAGGACCCTGCGGGTGCGGGGATGGGGGGTGGGGGGAGGAACAGAGGATCCAAAGCAGGCTCAGTCAGCCATGACAGCACAGAGCCGGAAGTGGGGCTCCAACTCAAGAACCATGAGATTGTAAACTGAGCCAAAGGTGGACACTTAACCGACTCAGCCACCCAGGCGCCCCCGTGGTATCAGATTTTCTGTATAAAAAAATTTTTTTCCCAAGATGATTGTAGCAGTTTGTATCCATACAACAGGTTTTTTGGGGTTTTTTATTTTATTTTTTTGTTTATTTTTTGAGAGAGAGACAGACCATGAGTGGGGGAGGGGCAGAGAGAGAGGGAGACCCAGAATCTGAATCTGAGCTGTCAGCACAGAGCCCGAAGCAGGGCTCGAACTCACAAACCGCGAAATCATGCCCTGAGACAAAACGAAGTCGGTCGCTTAACTGACTGAGCCCCCCAGGGGCCCCAGAGGTGGGATAGTTTAATATACTATTTGCAAAGGCCTTTACTGGCCGTGCCTTGATCCCAGACACTTCACTCCAGTCTCCACTTCTGCCATCGTGTGACATTCTTCCCCCATGTGTCTGTGCCCAGATTTCCTCTTCCTGTGAGACATGGGTCATTTGGCCGAGGGCCCACCTACTCCAGCGAGACTTCATGGTACCTCTTTGACATCTGCAAACACCTTATTTCCAAATTGGGTCACATTCCTAGGGACCGAGGGATAGGACCTCGGCCTGTCTTTGGGGAGGGGACACAACTCAACTCCTAACAGCACTCCGAAAGCGTGTGTTGTTTTAGGGCTCCGTGACCTTCACAGACGTGGCCGTGAATTTCACCAAGGAGGAGTGGGCCCTGCTGGACCCTGCGCAGAGAAATCTCTACAGAGACGTGATGCTGGAGAACTGCAGGAATGTGGCCTCCCAGGGTGAGGATGCCCCCCTTCCACACTTGTCCGTGGCCGGGACCCACGTGCGCCAGGTACCCCCTGTGTTCCTGGAGGCGTGCTGAGGAATGGGACCAGCATCGCTCAGTAACCGAGACGCGGCTGCTGCTGTCCCCAAGTGGTGGACACCGGGTATTACCCCATGAAAGAGGAAATCTGTCCTTTGCGGTACATTTCTGTTCTCTCCGTGACCCCCAGCCCTCGGGCGACCCTCAGGGGGGTGAGCACAGAGGGGTTTAGTGCATTCAGGAGGAAAATGGAGGGAATACTTTGTTGCTGCACACTCGTACGTGCTTAGCAGCAGAACCCCTACAGACCAAAGCGTACACCCTGTTTCCGGGAAGGTTTCTGCTTCCGGCACCGCTGTCTTAACGTCATGTGCTATCCTGTGTCCCCGTGATCAGGACTTCCACGAGGCATCCTAGCCCGATCTCATGTTTGCAGGAGCAAGAAGCGGGTCTGGGTATGGTGAGGGGTAATTTTACCCATGTACCTGCTCGCGTGAATCTTTACAAGGAAGGATTTCACCATGTGGAATTTATTTTATTTTTTGTTAATGTTTTTTATTTATTTTTGAGAGAGAGAGAGAGACAGAGTGTGAGCGGGGAGGGTCAGAGAAAGAAGGAGACGCAGAATCTGAAGCAGGCTCCAGGCTCCGCACTGTCAGCACAGAGCCCGACTCAGGGCTCGAACTAACCACCGTGAGATCATGACCTGAGCCAAAGTCAGAAGATTAACTGACTGAGACACCTAGGCGCCCTGACCTGGGTCCCTTTAAAGTCACACACAGACTCTGTCTTAGTCTGTTCGGGCTGACCGAATACCACGCTCCAGGTGGCTGTCACACACACACTTGCCTCTCACATTCCGGAGACTGGGAAGTCCAAGGTCAAGGTGACAGCAGACTTGGTTCCCAGCCAGGACTCTTCCTGGTTTGCAGACGGCCGCCTTCCTGCTGTGTCCTCACGTGCTAGAGAGGCAGTGAGCTCCGCTCTGCTTCCGTAGGGACGCCAGTGCCATCACGGTGTCCCCACTGCCACATCTTCATCCAGACCTGATTAGCTTCCTGGTGCCCCACCTGCAAATACCATCACCTTTGGGGGGGAGGGATGAGGGTTTCCACGTACGGATTTGTGGGCGACACAAAGTCAGTCCGTGGCTGACTGTCCAGTTCTCTTCCATGAGGCTGTACCTTCCTGACTGCTGTCCTCCCCCCATCCCCAAAGGACCGTTGGGTAACAGGTCCCGGCCACACAGAACCCGTCCTCACTGCAGTCGAGCCCCCAAGCAGGCCCAAGTCCATGGTGCCTTTCCACTCCAGTGCCTGCACCTTGCTCGTGAGTCCCTTTCACGTTTTCCTCACCCACTCCGAGTCACCATTTGAGAAGAAACCCACCTGGGCACGTTCCTAGGTTAGATCATCTCTAGCCTCCACCGTGACGTTCAATTCGCGTTTGTGTGCTTTATTTCAGATTCAGTGAATCAACACAAAACCAGAAACCCAATCCTTCAGCAGGACGTTCTCGCCGAGAAGATGCTTCCAGGAGCGAGCAGAGTGTGTGCCATGAACAAAAGTACCTGGCCCTCCCCGTGGGGAGGAGACTGGACATGCCACGAAACAGAGGAGCCTCCCAGGCGAAGGGAGCCGAGATTGCAGCTGGCCACGGGGGGCCAAGAGAGGGGCGAGTCTCCGGTCAGAGTCTGTGAACTTCATGAAACGAAGGATAGTTGGAAACCAAGCACAAAGCTCGTGCCTTCGCAAAGAGATTCCGCAGGAAACTATATCCCAAACTGGGGCTCCGATGTTCTGAAACCAAGTCCTGTCCTAATCAGTCATCCGAAGATCTACAGAAACAACGAATATGATACAGCCTTATGGCAAAGCACTGGATTGACCCCGTTCGTGAGAGGTCAGACGCAGCCAGAGCCAAACACATGGGCTCACATTCACAACAATATGCTGCATACGTATAATATCTGCATGGGGGTGGCCTTTCATGAACGGGCTCCATCTGGGAAAGCCTTTGGTGAAGACATTTCCCCTAGCATACACAAGACTCACATTGCAGAGAAAACCTATGAGTCTAATCCGTTTGAAATCGCCTTCCAAAACGGCTCAATCTGCCAGAAAAAGAGGCAATACTACACGGCAGAGGCAAATCACGAGAGTAAGCAAGGTGAGAAGCGCCTTGCTCACACTGCAAATTCTGACTCACACAGGAAGACTAAGCCTGGAGGGGGGAAATACAAATGTCAAGAATGTAGGAAATCTTACCTGTATCAGTCTTCCCTCGTGAAGCACATGGAAATTCACACCGGAGAGAAACCCTACAAATGCCAGACATGTGGGAAAGCCTTTAAATATTCCTTACACCTCAACAAGCATTTACAAAAGCACATTATCAAGAAGCCCTATAAATGTGGGCAATGTGGGGAAACCTTCAATGAGTTCTCAAAACTTACTGAACATAGAAGGGTGCATATCGTAGAAAAACCCTATAAATGTGAGGAGTGTGGGAAAGGCTTCATTACTTCTGACAGATTTAAAAACCATCTAAAAACTCACAGTTGACGGGTGCCTGGCTAGCCCGTTCAGAAGAGCGTGATCTCAAGGTCATGAGTTCCAGCTCCACATTGGCTGTAGAGATTGCTTAAGTAAATAAATGAATCTTAAGAAAATCAAAGTCACAGTTGAAAGATGTCCTGTGAATAAAAGGAATGTGGGAAAAGCTTCATTAATTTTCTCAAACTACCGAGCGCATGAGGATGTTTTGGAAGGGAGCTCAAGTCTTCCCCGAAGGACAGAAGTGGGAGAATCCACACATTTACATATTCACACCCTGTGTAGGTAAGATCTCTGGAAAGTTTCTAATCTTGTTTCACCTTTGGTAGACGTTTGTTCTCACATTGGAGAGAAACCCTATGAATCTAAGGAATATGGAAACGCCTTCCATGCTGTCTCAATGTAATCCTTACAAGAATTCACACTTCGGAGACTCATCATGGGGGTAAGGAACGTGAGAAACAGGTCTTTAAGCATTCATGCCTTAAGTTCCCCCCCAAGAGCCTACATCCTGGAGAGATACTAGGATTACCATTGCTTCCAGCTCCTCACCTGCAAGGCACAAATAAATAAACAATAGTAGGAGAGAAACACAGTAAATATTAGCATTGCTGCCATTGACATTGCCTCATCCTTCAACTAGGACCAGAATTCATTCCTTTCCAGTTTTGGTTCTCTAATAAAATCTTACAAGATGACGAAATACCCTCTGTGTGCCTCTTTAGCTTTGTCACGTGAATTTTTGATATGTAAGACCTTTGTTGGTATTTACACACAGATGTTCTCACCAACACAAGGCCCCGTTTGAGCCTCATCTCTTTCCAATTGGGGTTTGGTGTGCTCTGTGATAACATTTTTTTGTTGGTTGGTATTGGTCATGATTTGACTGCATTATGGTCAGAGTGTGTTATCTTTGTGATGTTGATATGGGACACATGTTCTGATGTTCATTTCAGTCTCATGGGACTGACTTCTGTCTAATTGCTTGGCCCTATTCATTCTTCTCATCCTCTTTACTAAGTATAAGGGTCCACAGACTTGTTTTTGCAGAGTTAGCCCTGCTGAAGGTTTTTAAATGCATTTTCTACACTTTCACGTAACTGATAGTGGGTAGATCTTAGAGCCCTGACAGAATTAACTGGCTTGGATTCCTAGAAAGCTGTTGGAAAGAGGAGAGTGCCACTCTTTATGTCTTAACTAAGTTCCCTTTGCTCTCTTTCCCAGTTGCTCCCTGGAGGTTGGATGAAATTTCCCTGAATTAGCACAAGCAACTTTAGGATCATTGAAATGAAGGTTGTGTTTCCCATAACACAATCTTCACGACACAGAGTCCCCGTGTAGCATGGTTTTGGGTGTCTGTACTAAGTCTAGTGTTTCTAGACTTAGTACATTAAGCAAGCCTCTTATTTTATTAAGAAACATTTTAGGGGAGGGGCACCTGGGTGGCTCAGTCGGTTGAGCGTCCGACTTCGGCTCAGGTCATGATCTCACGGTTCGTGGGTTTGAGCCCCGCGTCGGGCTCTGTGCTGACAGCTAGCTCAGAGCCTGGAGCCTGTTTCATATTCTGTATCTACCTCTCTCTCTGATCCTCCCCTGCTTCCGTTGTTTCTCTCAGAAATAAATAAAACATTAAAAAAAAACATTTTAGGGGAAATTTTTTAAAACACCGAGTTTCTTTGGTGTTGGGTGGGATCAGGTTCAGTAACTAAATAGTCAGGCTTCTTGAGTGCTTCACATTCTCTTACTAACAAAATTTTTGACTCTTGATCTGTCTTTACTGAGCAAGCTTGTAATACAATACCCCATTAGAGAAGTGTATTATCAAAGTTTTTAACTTTTTAACGCTTATTTAATTTTTTTAAAAATTTTAAAAAATTTATTTCTGAGAGAGAGCGGCAGCATGAGCAGGGGAGGGTCAGAGAGATGGGGAGACACAGAATCTGAAACAGGCTCCAGGCTCTGAGCTAGCTGTCAGCACAGAGCCTGACACGGGGCTTGAACCTATGAACCGTGAGATCATGACCTGAGCCGAAGTCGGATGCTCAACTGACTGAGCCACCCAGGCACCCCAATATTTATTTAATTTTTGAGAGAGAGAGAACAGAGAGCATGAGGGGCAGAGAGAAAGGGAGACACAGAACCCGAAGCAGGCTCTAGGCTCTGAGCTGTCAGCACAGAGCCTGACACGAGGCTCAAACTCATGAACCTGGAGATCGTGACCTGAGCTGAAGTCAGACACTTAACCAACTGAGCCACCCAGGTGCCTGATGGAAGTTTTACAGCTTTGTCAATTCTTGCTTACTGTATTTATAGACAATGTTATTAGATGCATAGGACTTTGGGCATTTTCTTTATCACAGGTGAGTTTTTTGCTTACTGTATGTTTTAATCTTTTTTTCTACTAACATGTTTTTTTAAATGTTAATTTATTTTTGAAGAAGAGAGAGACAGAGCATGAGCAGGGGAAGAGCAGAGACAGAGGGAGACACAGAATCCAAAGTGGGCTCCAGGCTCTGAGCTGTCAGCACAGAGCCCGACACAGGGCTCGAACTCACAAACAGTGAGATCATGACCGGAGCCGAGGTCGGACGCTTAACCGACTGAGCCACTCAGGCGCCCCTCTACTAACATTTTTTTTGGTCATTCATATAATAAGGGAAAGTCCCTTAGTGTGACAAGACTTTACATATATCACTCACCACCACGCCACAAATAAATACTTATGTCCTTTAACTGTGGAATCTGAAGCACAGAAGTTAAGGAAACTTGCTGATGTTAAACAGCTTCTTTTGAGTTTCAAAGCAGCGGGTGTTTTCATGGTCAAGTTCAGGCTTTCGTACGTGTATTAGTCTCCTGTTGCTAATCACACATGTAGTGGCTTTAAACAACCCAAATTTCTCATCTTACATTTCTTTTTTTTTTATTTAATGTTTTATTTATTTCTAGTAGAGAGAGACAGTGTGAGCAGGAGAGGATCAGAGAGAGAGGGAGACACAGAACTGGAAACAGGCTCCAGGCTCTGAGCTGGCTGTCAGCACAGAGCCCAACGCGGGGCTCAAACCCACGAACCGTGAGATCATGACCTAAGCGAAAGTGGGACGCTTAACCGACTAAGCCACCCAGGCGCCCCTCATCTTACATTTCTGGCAGAAGTCCAGAATGAGTCTCACTGGGTGAAAATCAACATGTCCACAGGGCTATATTTTCTGGAAGCTCTAGGGGAAAGGTTATGTTCTTGCCTTCTGCATCCATTCCTTGGTTGATGGCCCCTCTCCATCAAAACCAGCAAGAGTCGTTGAATTCTCACATCACATCCTTCTGACTCTTATGATTCTATAAGAGTCCTCCCTCTTTCATTTATAAGAACAGTGTGACTACATTGGGCCCACCCAGATGGCCCAGAATCATCTCCCATCTCAAGATCACCTTGAGCAACTTTTAATTCCATCTGTGACCTTAATTCCCATTTGCTATATAAGGTAACATACTCACAGGCTCTGAACATTAGCACATACAAATCTTCGGGGGCCATTCTTCTGTCAACTACAGTACACCTGTGAAATTGTCCAGCTTATTAACTGACTGAAAGAAAACCTTCAAAACCTAACTGATTCTGGTCTTCGAGACTGTGCCATTATTCATCACATATATTTTCCTGATCATGGCCTTTGGGCCGAAGACTGTGGAAGACTCTGGGTCTACATCAGCTCAGCAAACTTTTTCCATAAAGAGCCAAAGAGTAAATATTTTAGGGTCTGTGGGCCAGATCGTCCCTGTTTCCACTGCCCAGCTCTTCCGTTATAGCACAAAGCAGCAGCCATAGATGATACATAAACAAATGGGTGTAGCTGTGTCCCGGTGACAATTCTTTATGGACACTAAAATTTGAATTTCACCTAATTTTCACATATCACGAGATAGTCTTTTGATTCTTTTTTTCCAATCACGGAGAAAAATGTAAAGCCATTTTTCTAAGTTTTGTTTTTATTTAAGTTTTCTCTACACCCACTACAGGGCTCGAACTCACAACCCTGAGATCAATGCTGTACCACCAGCCAGGTGCCCCCCAAAATGTAAAACCATTCTTAGCTCACGGGCCTGATTTGGGCAACAGGCCATAGTCTGCTGGCCTCTGGTCTAAAGGAAAGAACAAAACAAGTTTTTATCTCATGCTTTCTTGTGGATAAGACAGACCTATAGAGGCCTGGCTCTCTATCCTGATTTTTTATTGTCTCAATTTTTTAAAAAATTGGAAAATATGGCTACCCAAATTCTGTGAAAATGTACATACACAGTTAAAAGTCACTCAGGGCAACTTGGTGGTTCAGTTTCGTTAAGCGTCCGACCTCAGCTCAGGTCATGATCTCACGATGCATGGGTTCGAGCCCTGCATCAGGCTCTCTGCTGTCAGCGCAGAGGCTGCTTTGGATCCTGTCTCCCTCTCTCTGCCCCTCCCCCACCTGTGCTCACTCTGTCTCTCAAAAATAAAACATTTTTAAAATTAAAGTCTCTCTCGCAAAAAAATAAAAAAAGCCTCTAACCAATTTGTAAATAAATACATACAGACATACATAGAAGTCAATAATGAGATCCACACATACTCACCATCCAGTCCCATCTCAGACTTATTTTATTGTTAATTTTATTTTTGAGAGAAAGAGCACAAGCAGGGGAGGGGCAGAGAGAGAGACACACACACAGAATCCAAAGCAGGCTCCAGGCTCTGAGCTCCGAGCTGTCAGCACAGAGCCCAACGCGGGGCTCGAACTCAGGAACCGTGAGATCATGACCTGAGCTGAAGTCGGAAACTTAGCCGACTGAGCCATGCTCACCTGACGCCCCCCATCACAAATTTATTAAATGCCCAACACCTCAAGGTGTTGCCCATGAGCCCTAAATGGAAACTACTCTTGTCCATTTTAGATCGTTTATTCCCCTGCTCATTTCTGTGTTTACTGCCCTTGCATAAATCCCCAAATATATTTTCTGATTTTATACCATATTTGATGGTATGACCGTGGATACATCTTTGTGTCCTGCTCTTCCAGAGAATGAAAGATTAAGCCAGGTGGATTAGAGGTAATGATGGTACCTTTATTTTCACTACCCTATGGGTTATTTTTTAGTTAAATTCACTGAAGAGGGGCATCTGGGTGACTCGGTCAAGCCTTCGACTTTGGCTCAGGTCATGATCTCACGGTTTGTGAGTTTCAGCCCCGCATCGGGCTCTGTGCTGACAGCTCAGAGCCTGGAATTAGCTTCAGATTCTCTATCTCCCTCTCTCTATCCCTCCTCTGCTCACACCGTCTCTCTCCCAAAATAAACATTTTTTTTTCTTAAATTCACTGATGAGACCTTTGTTGATGTATCTCACTGTATTACATTGTTGCTGAAACCAATTTTGATAGGTTCCTGGGTGGGTCACTCTTGCAGTAAATATGGCTGGGTTGTACAATAGCTTATGCCCAATCGAAGAAAAGTATTTCAGACAAGATAGCACTGAGTGATTCCATTCGTGTGAAATTTCCGGAAGAAGCAAATCTGTAGAGACAAAATCGCCCCGGGGCGGGAGGTGGGACAGGAAGCTGACTGCAGGCTGGTGAGAGGGAACCTTTGGGGAAAGTGATGGAAGACTGGGCTGTGGTGATGATTGTAGGACTCCGTAACTGTGAAAAGTCACTGGACACTCGCTGACAATGAGTGGCTTTTACAGTCTGTAAATTATGCCTGAATGGGGGAGCCTGAGTGGCTCAGTCGGTTAAGCATCCGACTTCGGCTCAGGTCATGATCTCATGGTTGGTGGGTTCGAGCCTTGCGTAGGGCTCTGTGCTGACAGCTCAGAGCCTGGAGCCTGTTTCAGATTCTGTGTCTCCCTCTCTCTCTGACCCTCCTCTGTTCATGCTCTGTCTCTCTCTCTCAGAAATAAATAAAACATTTTTAAAAATTATGCCTGAATGAGCCCATGACGGCAAGAAAGGAGGAAGGGAGAGGAAAAAAGGAATGTCAAGGGCCCTGTTGGGTGTCCACAGCTGCGTGCTGACCAAATGCTCTGCTACCTTCAGCTCCAGGTGTTTGGGGGAAGGGGGGAGGGGCAGCCTGTGGATGAAAGCGCTCTCAGCCCTTTTCTGGAAGCCCCATGGCCTGCGTTTCTCACTCACCGTTTTGTCCTGGCATCACAAATGGGTGCACTCAGTCTCTCCCTGTCGGCCCCAGACTAGGCTGAGGGAGGGGCGTCACTTTTACCCCCCAGGGAGCACCGTGCGGAGGGAAAGGATCCTGGCTGGGAGGCAGTCCCTGGGCTCAACTCCAAGGAGAGGCGAGGAAGCTTGTGGCTTTGGGGATTCCTTCAGCCGCCCCATTGTCCACATCCTCAGTTCCAACAGGGGCAGCATGAGAATTTGTAACAGTCGTTTAACAAAAATCCTTAGTGCTTCTAAGTGCTTTACGGACGTTAAACATTAACTTGTTTAATGCTCCCGCCAACCCTGTGCAGTGGGTGCTGTGTTCCCATTTTATAGCAGAGAAAACTGAGGCACAGAGAGGGTAAGCAAGCTGCCCGAGGTCACACAGCTGGCTGCGGGCGGGGCTGTCCCGCGCTGCACCTGCCTCTAAGCCCTAGGCGAGGAGGCTGTCCCATAGTGACAGGGCCTGACTGTGGTTGCTTGTCTGGCCTCCCCACCGGGGTGCGAGCTCTGGGAGCGGCGACCCCGTCTGGGATACAAAGAGAGGCGTCGGGTGAACGCTCTTGAATGAAGAAGGGAGGCGCTGGGCGCAGGACGGCCGCCTCCCTCTCTGACCCCCCAGGCCCTCCCACCGCGCTCTACTCGGGGACCTATATTCGCGGCAGCGCCTTCAGTCCCAGCAAACGGGATCCTCTGGGCGATGCTGGACCAGACAGAAACCGGGGCCTGGAAGGTCCGACGGCGCCGAGCCTGCTCGCGGCGGGGCACGGGCGCCACCTGGCGGCGGAGTCCCGTCAGCACCGCGCCCCCAGGAGCCGGGGATTTGCTCTGGGCGAGCTGGGACCGCGTCTGGAAGGCAGAGGCTCTCTGAACGTCTGGAAAAAAAGTGCGAAGCTGGGCGCCGTCTATTGGCTTCCAGACCTTTCTGACCGCGATGCACAGCAAAAATCATTTCACGTCAACAGGGCTTCAGGAAATGCCACCCTGTACGTCTTTTTTTTTCCTTAATTATTCTACTCTATTCCTTTTTTGAAATGCCAGATCCCCTTAAACTGACTTACTCTCTAATAAATCTCACTGATAATCAGGATGGAGTTAGCCACGCCTAGATTATCCTCAGGTGGTTACGATGGAGAAAGTGTTAGCACCCAGACCTCCCCCCAGCGGTATTTTCCTACCACGTTCTGCCATCGCCAGAGAGTCCCCCGGCAGCTCGGATTTCAAGAGAAACTGAAATCCTCGGTCTCAAAGAAGCGAAGACACTTGTCCAAGGCCGCACAGGTTATATGCAGCAGGGTTAGTGTCTGCCTCACTCCTGCAGGACGGAAATCACTGAATGCTCCAAACGTCAGTGCTACAAAGGACAGTTCAATTCAGTGCTTTCTCCATTTTTTGCCAAGAAGATGGTGTTGTGCTGGCCTGCTGGGTTATTTGTACTTTTTAAATAGATTAAGGATATCGCAGAGCTCGTGCTTAAAAATGTGAGTCTTCAGGGGCGCCTGGGTGGCTCAGTCGGTTGAGCATCCGATTTCAGCTCAGGTCATGATCTCGCGGTTTGTGGGTTCAAACCCTGCGTCGGGCTGTGCTGACAGCCAGCTCAGAGCCTGGAGCCTGTTTCAGATTCTGTGTCTCCCTCTCTCTCTGACCCTCCCCTGCACACATTGTCTCTCTCTCTCTTTCAGAAATAAAACTTTTTGGGGGCGCCTGGGTGGCTCAGTCGGTTAAGCGTCCAACTTCGGCTCAGGTCATGATCTCACAGTTTGTGGGTTCGAGCCCCGCGTTGGGCTCTGTGCTGACAGCTCAGAGCCTGGAGCCTGCTTCAGATTCTGTGTCTCCCTCTCTCTCTGACCCTCCCCTGCTCGCGTTGTCTCTCTCAGAAATTTTTTTAAAAAAACATAAATTGATAAAGTCTTGTGGCGAAGATAATGCATTTATACTTCAGTTGACTGATAGAATTTCACAGGCAGAGGTCACACAATTTGCCACTCCAGGTAACCTGCACTGAAAAGTGTGCATAAAAGCTGAGAAATCCACCTGAAGTGTTGTGTTTTGTTCCTATAACTGACCCTGCGATGCTGTGTGTGTGACAGTTCTCTACATGGTTGCCACACACATAGCACCCACACGTTCAGGAATGTCACCGCGAAATACGCAGGTGGAAATCCACGCTTCTGGGGCAAGGTCAAAGCCAATATTAATTGACACATTTTGTTTTCTCATGGTTTTCTTAAGATTTTTATTTGTAAGTAATCTCCACACCCAACATGAGGCCCAAACCCACAAACCTGCATGCTCCATTGACTGAGCCAGCCAGGGGCCCCAGTTGGCACATTCTGGACAATTACTGAAGCCGATGTGCCCCAACATTACTCCCCAACTCCCCACCCAGGCCATTCAGAGCTAAAGAGGAAAACCACACCTTCTATGCCAATTTCATCTTCATCGATTGTCATACACATGATCGCAGATATTTTTGAGCATTACATTATGTGCTGGGTACTAAGGTTTCATGTGCACCCATTCACTTATTCTCACAAAAGTCCCTGAGGTGTGTGTATCAACCTCAACTCATTTTTTAAAAATATTTTTATTTATTTCTAGGAGAGAGAGAGAGAGAGACAGCGTGAGCAGGGGAGGGTCAGAGAGAGAGGGAGTCACAGACTGAAACAGGCTCCAGGCTCTGAGCTGGCAGTTAGCACAGACCTCGACGCGGGGCTCGAACACACGAACCGCGAGATCATGACCTAAGCGAAAGTCAGACGCTTAACCGACTAAGCCACCCAGGCGCCCCAACCTCAACTCATTTTAAGGGAGACAAGGCCCAGGGTATCACTCTCCTTGATTAGGGTAACGGATTATCTGTCTGGATTTGGATTAAATTTAGGCAGGGCATTCAGCAGGAGTCAACAGCCAGAAAGGGTGACCCATGGCATTCTAATTCCCAAACCACCCCCAGCGAGAAGAGGACAGTCTGCTTTATCTGTGGGACCCTGTGGCAGGCACTAGGGCTGTCCACATTCTCTCTCTCTCCTTCCACATGGACAGATCGCACTTCCCACCCATTTCAAGTTACACAGCAGCGGGGCACCTGGGTGGCTCAGTCGGTTAAGCATCCGACTTTGGGTAAGCGTATGTGTGAGTTCAAGCCCCGCATCGGGCTCTGTGCTGACGGTGTGGAGCCTGGAGCCTGCTTCGGATTCTGTGTCTCCCCCTCTCACGCTCTGTCTCTCAAAAACTAATAGACACTAAAAACTTTTTTTTTTTTGGAAGCTACACATCATGAGATGACCTGCTTGGGTCAATAAATGCAAGTCAAGTGACATGCGTCATATCCAGATAGAAGCCGTAAGAGCTTCTGTCAGCTTCACCAAGTTCTTGGTTTCCCAGTGCCAGAGAATTAGCAACACTTCGGCCTGCATCACGAAGATGACATGGAGGAGGGCCCTTAGGGCACCCACAAAAGACCAGTAACACTGCAAAGTAATAACCCTTTGTTGTATTAGGCCACTGAAATCCTGGGGCTGTTTGTTACTGCAGCACAATCCGGCCTATGCTGACTGATACACCCCAGTTTTCAGTAGAGCCTGGATTGTGGCAGTCTCAAAAATAAATAAATTTTTTTTAAAAAAGGAATGAATGAATGAATTGCAAGGAATAGGGACAAAGTCATACATCCCCCCCGGGCCGGAGGTAAAGGCAGCAGCCATGTGTCAAGCTTGTCCCCCCACATATACACGTGTAACCGGGCTGGGCTGAAAGTCAGGCTCGGACCTTTATTTTCTAGGGGCGGAGCTCATGCGGACCCTGACATCTTTGCTCCAAGTCTTCCCCTGCAGCCCAGTATTGGGGGGGGGGGCGCAGAGGAGGGCAGTACTGGGGGCTCTCAGGGAGGGCGAGGAACGAGAGGCTACAGAGACGGGGACATGAGGTACAAGGAGAGCCCGGAAGGCAGCGACAAGAGAGGGAGTTAGAAGATGAGAAGTGGGGAAGCAGAAACGGGAGGCGAGGAGCCAGCGGAGATGGGGGCAGAGATGGAACACAAGACAAACACACACCGAATGGGAAGCCGAGACGACAGGAAGGGAAACGGGGGTTGGGAAGAGAAAGGGACCGGGAGACAGAGCTGAGGAGACGAGGAGGAGCAGGTAGAAGTAGGGACACGGGGCAGGGCAGGTGCAGCCGCACTCCCAGAGGGCTGGAACCAGGAGAGCTACAGGGAATCTCAGGGCAGAGCCTTGCAGGGAGCCCAGGGCGGGAGCAGGGGGCAGTGGGGAGAGCCTACTCTTTGCTGGTGCTGGAGCCCGGGCCGGTGCTGGAGGTCGGGACAGGGCTAGAGCCCTGGCCTCTGCTAGACCCCAGGCCTCCGCTCGACTCGGACCCGGTGCCTCTGCTCTCTGCACCCAAGGGGCTGTCGTGGCCCCCGCTGGACCTCACGTATCCAGTGGACCCCAGGTAGCTGCTCGAGCTCGGGGTTCGGAAGGTCACGCGGCCCCCGGTCGAGCCCCGGCTGGATGCGGGCACCCCCACCGCGCTGGCAGAACCGTAGGTGACGTGGCCGGTGCTGGAGCCGGGCTCATCAAAGGTGACGCGGCCCATGCTGGAGGCAGCGGCGCGGCCTCCGCTGGACGCCAGGATGCCACTAGTCCTCTGGCTCAGGATGGAGCCGGGGACCCCGCTGGGGCTCCTGGCGGCCATCATGGGGGAGCCTGAGCTCACCCTCTGGGTCATGGAGAGGCTGGGGACGCTCGGGTCGCTGTCCACCTTCCTCATGCCCTCAGCTAATTCCTTTGCTTGCTGCTCCCGCGCCTCGAGCTGGGGGGGTGGGGGGCGAGGGGTTAGGGTCAGGGTCCTGCAAGGGGGCGGAGGGCCTGCCCCGAGCCCTGCGGCTGCCCCGTCCTCACCAGCTTGGTCACGTGGCTGCGCAGCTCTTCCTTGCTCATCGGATAGTCCTCTTTGGGCTCGAAGCCTGGGGGGTCGTCCCTGAAGTGGGGGGGAAGGCAGGAAGGGGGGGCGCTCAGCCCCGCACGAGACCAAGGGCTCCTCGTCGCTATACCCAGAGACCGTGACCGTGCTCCGGCCAGCCAGATGCCCTTGGCCCTTTCCGGGTCTCCCTGGAGCCAGCTGGGTCCTCAGCAGCCTCTATTCCTCTGGCACCCCCACCCCCACCCCAAAGCTCTCGCTCCCACCTTCTGCTCCGCCCCCCTACCCACACCCACCCTCTTGTATCCTGGACCCGCGACCCCCACCCTCTCCCCCCAGGAGTCTCCTTCCCCCCGCCCTTCCGGCCCCAGTGACTCACTGACTGTCAGGGAGCTGCGGCGGAAGCGGCGGCGGCGGGGCCCCTTTCTTTGGAGCATCCTCAGGGCCCTGGCCCAGAACCAGGAGGGCAGCGTTAGCCGAGCTAGACGGGGTGAGGGTCTGCAGGGCGGACAAGCCAGCCGGCAGCTCAGCGCCAAGGCCCTGGCCTCCAAGCTTCTGGCTCCCTGTCCCCCACCCCCACCCCCTCATAGTGCCCGCCGCACCTCCAGCCGCACCTCCAGCCGCACCTCTGCGTAGGCCTGCACCGTCAGGAGCTCCACCAGCCGCTTCTCGATGAGGCCCAGGAAGAGGCCGATGTCGCGGTCTCGCATGTGGGTCTTGACCCCCAGGAGGTCCTTGATGAGGGTGTTGTCACACTGGGCCCTGGTGAAGAGCTGCTGGATGTCTGGGGTCGGAGGGGACAGGCTGTCACGGAGGCAGCGCCCCCTGAGCCACGGGAGACACCAAGCCAGGCTCCGGGATGGAAAGCGACTTGCTGGAGCTCAGAGAGGGCACCAGGGCGACACTGTGGGGGCCTGGCCACCGGACTCAGAAGGAACCACAGAGGTTCAAAACGTGAGGGAGGTCAAGGGGAAAGCGCCAAAGGCACCAGCTACTGAAAGACTTCTTCACGAGGCTCGGAAACACCGACTCCCATCCCGCCTGGTGACCCCCCCCACTTCAGGAGTCCCCCCAGGAGGAGATCCGCTGCTGAGGCTGCACCGACTGGATTACCCACTGCCTCTGGCTGGGTCACTGTTGTGACCCATGGCTGTCGCGGCCGGCCGCTTCCCGGCCTGCTTGTATCTAGTTATTGTTCGCTTGTGACTGGTTATTGTTAATCAGGAGGCGCCCGTGACCTTGGCACAAATCTCGCATCACAAACCTCATCTCACCGCATCTCTCCCTCTTGTCCCCGGGGTCCCTCGCCACGCTGCGCACACTGAGTTCGGGGGCGGGGGGGCATCCCCAAACTCACTCCTCCCAAGTTCCCTGTCTCATAGAGGAGCCTTACCCCCACCAGGCCAGACCCCGGGCGCTTCAACCGCACCTCCCCCCACAGCCCATCCTTCTGAAACTTCTGGGCTCCCTCCCCTCCTCTCCCTCCTCCCCCCTGCTCCCCCATCCATGGCCTCCCGTGGCTCCCCAGTGCCCCAACCTGGCACCTCTTCAGGATCCGCCACCCTGCACCTCACACCCACGCCCTCACATCCCCTCTCTAAAGAGCCTACATTCCTGGGAGCACCTCCAGGCTTCAGCCCCACATGCTGGGAGCACCCCCTCCCCAGCTCTTCAGTTAAATACCCTTCGTTAAATACCCTTCGTCAAACACAGCCTCCGCATCTCTGCTTCCAGGAAGCCATGGGTCACCCCCACCCTGTCCTCCCCGCCCCTCCCCCCCACTGCTGCCTCCTCACCTAGCACAGGGCAGAGGTCATGGTCACCGCAGAGAAAAGGAGGACCTGCGGGGAACCGACCTCCTACGGTGACCACAGGGAGGCCCCCCTGCTTGCTCAGCGGCACCAGGGCCACCTTCTGTCCCAACTGACCCTCTGCTTCCCATGGGTCAGTCCATCCAATTCTCGGGTCAGCCCAGGAAGTCCCCGCGGCCCCCCATTCCATGGCCAGAGGGTCTCAGGCCCAGGAGTCCACCCACCAGGCTCCCAAATGATGGGGCCGGCTTCAAACCCGGGGCGGCCTGAGTCTTGGGCGCTGTACCCTGGGAGGGTGGCAAGATGGAGGCGAGGATTGGGTGGAGGTGGGGGCGGACACCGGATGGGCAGACAGGCCGGCCACCAAGGCGCGGCGGGAATCAGTGCCTCCACGCGGCCAGCGTGCGGCGGGGGCGGGCGGTCGGGGAGCGGGGGCGGTCGGGTCCTCGCACGCTCACCCGCCTTGAGCTTCTCCAGCTGCTCCCGCAGGTCCCGGAAGCGGGCCTCCACCTCGTCGGCCTCCGCGCGCACCTCCTCCGTTTGCTGCTGCAGGGCGCTGCGCTGCTGCTCTCGCTGCTCGCGAAGGTTTTCCTCCCTGGTGCGGGTGTCCGCCAAGGTCTCCCGCAGCTGCCGTGCGGAAGCGCACGTCCGGGGGCAGCTGGGGGGAGGGGGCGGCCGCCTCGCGCGCAGGAGAGAAGGGTGGGAGAGGGAAGAAGGGAGGGATGAAGGGAGGGGGAAGGGGGGCCTCACTCACCTGCTTGATCTCCTCCTGCAGGTGCTCCAGTTCCGAGTTCTGCTCGTTGATGAAGGTGAACTCGGCGAAGTTGCGCTCCTCGGCTGCGGAGAGGCGGGAGGGGCGGGTCCAGCGCGCCGGAGGCCGAGCGGCCCGCGGGACGGGGAAGGAGACGCGCGGGGAGACGGCACAGAGACAGACGCAGAGACCGAGGGAGGCGGAGGCGGGGGGTGCAGGCCGGGAGAGCCAGAGGGGACGCTGAGGAAGGCAGAGCGAGTCAGAGTAAGACAGACGGCAACAAAGTCAAGAGGGAGACCCAGGAATGCCGAGAGATGCAGAGAGAGAGAGAGAGAGCGCGCGCCAGCCCAGGCCCCGGGGGGCGACAGCAAAAGGCACCCGGAGGGAGAGACCCAGAGGTGGAGGGAAGATGTGCAGAGTGGCCCCCGGGCCCAGGAATGGGGGGCGGGGAGACAGACACGCCCAGAAACGAACTTGAAAAACGGAAATAAGACACAGCGAGGGGACTGAGCGCTGCAGCCCAAGGGGGACAAACAGAAGCAACAGACACGGGAGGGAGACAGACTGGGGCGCGCGGGGCCGGGCGAGGAGCGCACGTGCAGGAGGCCCCGGGGCCCAAGCGGAGGCCCCCATGCCGGTGCCGCCCGCCCTCCCCCGCCCCCCCCCCCCCCCCCCCCCCCCCCCCCGTCCCGCGGCCCGTGCTCACTCTCCAGGTACTTCTCCACCAGCAGGTCCGGGTCGCTCTCCCCCGTCAGCTGGAACAGCTTGTTCATGGCATCTTCGCAGCGCAGCACCAGCTTCTCCTGGGACGTCTTCCGGAGGCCTTCGGCCACCTCCCGTGCTGGGGGGGCGGGGGTGGGGCAGTGAGGTCGGCGGAGGGGCCTGGGTGGGGAGAGCACAGGCCGCGCACGCCGCCCCCCACTCGGCGGCGCCGTGACCCACCCCCCGCCGCACACGGACAAATCCCCCCCAACCCCGATCCCTCCCCCCTCTGCTGCGGGACCCCCTGAGCCCCGCCCCCTCCCTGCCCCCCGCCGGGGGTGGTGGCCTCACCCCGCTTCTCGCGCTTCTCCAGGACTGCGGGGTCTGGCTGCCGCTCATTGTTCTTGAGCTTGAGGAAGCGGTGGAGCTGTTCGAGGTGCGCTATGTGCCGCTGCAGGGCCTGCACCTCCGTCTCGTTCTGGGCCACCTCCTTGTCCGCCCTCTCCCGCAGCATGCCCAGCTTGGTCTTTGCCTCCTCCCTGCGGGGGGAGGGGGGCGGGAGCCCAGGGGTCAGGGAGGACAGGGCAGCCCGGGGTCCCAGGGGTGGGGCAGAATCAGAGTGCAGAACCCCCCCCCCCATAAAGACAAAAACCTTCCTAGTTTCCTGAAGGGGAGTCATGTGATGGGGTGGAAGCAGGGTGGGGGGTGCCGGGCTCGTAAGGGACTGATGGCCCGCCTCTTCTTGGGGGGGGGGCACTGCTGAGCGCACACAGGGCCCCCGGGAGGCCTGGGCATTATTGTGTGGGCCGCGGAGCGGAGGCATCAGTTAGAGACTCTCCTCGCACCCGGGAGGCTTAGCCCTGGATGATCAGGTCATCAGGCCGGAGCCTGGGGGTCGTGTGATGGGAAACAGGAGAGGCCTGGACCTTTCGGGGCCTCATGGTGGACACACAGACGCCCTCGCCCACGTGTTAGCATATTGGGGGTGCTCTCGAAGCCTCAGCCCCCAGCGTCTTGTGGCCTGCTCATCTGAAAGTGTGGCTTTTCAGCTTTTACCCACAGTGCAGCCTGAATTCCCGGTGCCCCAAACCTATTTCACAAGTCACAGGAGCCAAGGTCAGAGGGTCATTAGGAGAACAGCAGTCCAGCCTCCGCAGGTCCCTGCCCACTGGCCATTCTCCCTACTTGACACCTGCCTCAACTTTGATCACCTCCAGCCTGAGCACCAGCTTCTTGTTCTTTTTTTTTTTTTTAAGTTTATTTATTTACTTTGAGAGAGAGAGAGAGTGAGCTTGTGCGCACAAGTGGGAAAGGGGCAGAGAGAGAGGGAGAGAGAATCCTAAGCAGGCTCCGTGCTGACAGAGCCCTGTGCGAGGCTCGAACTCCTGAACGGTGAGCTCATGACCTGATCTCAAATCAAGTCAGGATGCTTCACCGACTGAACCGCCCGGGCACCCCGCCAGCTTCTTGATCTTTCCAGATGCCTGCCAGGCCTACTCAGGTCAGCCCTCCTGGGTGGGAGGCCTCCCCCCGGGCACACAGAGGCCCCAGCCCCAGTGACATGGCCACGTGCTGGTGGCAGCCCTCCTCGGGGACCGGGACTCACACGCTTTCTGTGCCTCACATTCCGTGCCAACTGAGGGGCAGGGGGGAGGGATCCCGAATCCTGAGAGCCAGACCTGCAGGGGGAGCTTTCTAGAACAGCAGCGCTGGGAGGTGGCCGCCCTTATCACGGTCATGTCACAGTGGAAGACAGAGGTTGTGACCTGGCCTGGGCAATCAGCCAGAGGAGTGTGGTCCAAGGCTGCAGGGATGGAGACAGGCCGGCCGGCCATCACCCGTGGTGCCTGGCAGGAGAGGGGAGCCTGGCCACGCGCCTCAGGGGCTCAGATGGTTGAGAGTCTCAACTCCGGCTCAGATCATCATTTCACAGTTCGTGGGTTCGAGCCCCGCGTCCGGCTCTGTGCTGACAGCTCGGAGCCTGGAGCCTGTTTTGGATTCTGTGTCCCCCTCTCTCCCCCTGCCCCCCTGCCCACTTGTACTCCGTCTCTCTCTCTCTCAAAAATAAACAAAAATATTTTAAAAAATTTTTAAAAAGAAGTGATAGTCGCACAACATTGTGAGCGTCATAAATGCCACTGAACTCTATGTACACTTCAAAATGGTGAATTTTGTTATGTGTGTGTTAACAAAATGAAAAAAAAAAAAAAGGAAGAAATCTCAGCAACCAAAATGTAGATCTGGGCTATAACTGATGTCGTGAGGAACATGCACCCTGAGTAAGCAGAAGTCCCAGGGAGAAACAAGACCCTGAATGGAAGGTAGGAAACCAGGTGCCCGGGAGGCTCAGTTGGTTAAGCGTCAGACTCGGTTCTGGTTCAGGTCATGATCTCATGGTCTGTGAGATGGAGCCCTGCGCTGGGCTCTGTGCTGACTTCTGGAGCCTGCTTAGGATTCTCTCTCTCTCTCTCTCTCTCTGCCCCTCCCCTGCTTGTGCTCTGACCCTCTCTCTCCTGCCTGGTTCATTCTCCCCACCCCACCTCCATGTGCTCTGTGCCATTAACAGATGGGGCGGGGGGGGGGCGCGGGGAGGTGCATCTATACACCTGGGTACGACCTCGCCGGGAGGAACCGGGAAATCACTTGGAGGAGAGAAAGGGGCACCATATATATATATATACCATATGTATAATTGGTTCCGAATGTCTATTTCTGGAGTTCTGAACCCTCCCACCTCTGCCTAGGCAAAGTGCGTGCCACGTGAGCGCAGCCCCAAATTGGGCCTTACCTGACGGCATAGGCGGCCGAAGACGAGGCCATGAGGGCGCCTACTGTGTGTCGCAGGCGCCGGATTTCCTGCAAGAGAACAAAACGGATGACTTTCTTACGGCATCCTCGCTGTAGGCCCTTCCTTTACACCCGGTGGACTTCCCCACCCCCTTCCCCCCCAGCAAGAACGGGGACTCCCGCGCCTCCCAAATGTGTGGACCTTCCTCGCTGGCGGCCACTGGGCCGGAAGGCTGGCTCAGAGGGCTTCTCCTCGAGAAACCCTCACTCCAGAACATTCCTAAGAGCGCCTCCCTAACTCTGTGGTCGGGTTCAGAAATGTGCGTGAATGTCCTCATTGTGACCACACCCATCCGTCTTCTAATTCCAAAGAAATGACTTTGCAGTTATTATGGGTAAAAAGGGTTCTTTCCGGAGAGAGAAGGAAGGAGATTATATATAATGTGTATATATATGTATATAATTATATACATGTATATAATGTGTATGTACATATGAATGTATATACAATTACATACATATATGTATATATACACGTATATACACGTGTATATATGCACATATATAATGTGCATGTATATATTAAGGTATATACAATAGATGTAGATGTATACATTTATATGTATATAAACATACATGCACACGCACAACATAATTACTTTTGCAAAAAGAAACTCAGGATGGATAACCGGAAGCTACAAGGCTGGATGGGAGGAACTGAGAGACAAGGAAAAGAAATGATGTTTCTCTGGGATACCTTTTGGAGGAGTTTTGTTTAGGAAGCGCTGTTAATGGTTTATATGTTCATCAGGAATATTCAATCAACAGTACTGGGAGGAAAGGGGAGAAATAAAACAGAATATGAAACAGAAGCAAATGAACCTCGCTGTACTTTAGACATGGTTTGGGAGGGGCGCCTGGGGGGCTCAGTCAGTTAAGCGCCTGATTCCAGCTCAGGTCATGATCTCATGGTTCATGGGTTCGAGCCCCACATCAGGCTCTGTGCTGACAGCTTGGAGCCTGGAGCCTGCTTCAGATTCTGTCTCCCTCCCTCTCTGCCCCTCCCCTGCGCTCACTCGCTCTCTCTCTCTGTCTCTCTCTCTCTCTCTCAAAAATAAACATCACAAATGGGCCAAGGGATGGTTCTAGATGAACAGAGCCTGGACAACCAAATGCAGTGTGGGACCCTGGCTTGGAGCCTAGAGGAAGAAAATCAAATCGGCTGCAAAGAACATCACTGGAACCTTCAGAGAACTTTAAACAGGGACGGTGTAGGATTGTAATATCATCGAGGTTCCTGACTTGGGTAACTGCCCTGTGTTTCTGTAAGAAAATGGTCTTATTCTTAGGAATTTCACACAGAAGTTCCTAGGGGCATCATGTGTGTGGTGCGTCCTCAAAAGTTCAGCAGTCGTGATAATAGATTATCTTCAGTAAACAAATAATAATTAGAGCGTGTGTGTGTGTAAATATGGCAAATTATCAATCTGGCGAAGACTAGAGTTCTCTGTGCTCTTCTTTCAGGGAAGGGAAGGTGGAGGAGAAAGAGAAGGTTCCTCAAAGGCCATCAAAGATTACAGAGATACCCACAGAATGGTCTGGCTGTCACAATGACATCCCGGCTTCGGTAAGTCTAAATGAGGCCGCCTTTCTGTTGGAAGCGTCCTGGAATGTTTTCGAGGCCTCCCTTCCCTCTGGACGGAGGGAAACCTATGGCTCCAGTAGATTCCGTACTTGAGGCCGGAGTGCTGGAGTTGAGTCCTCTCCCTACCCCAGCTGGGCCAACGGGTCCTTGGCCCTTCAAGGCCACTGACCTTCTGCAGGTTATGGTCCACGTTCAGATAGCGGTTCCTCTCAATGCGCAGGAGATCCAGCTCTTCCCTCAGGGCCGCGTTCTGCACCAGCTGGATGTCAAAGCGACAGGTGACCTGGGAGGGAGGGGAGTACTAAAGTCTGTCTGACGCCCGGCCTGCCTCCCTCTTGCACACTGGGACAGGGAGTGGGCACTTGTCACGTGTGGGGCCCGTTCCCGATCTGGGGACCCTGAGAGCGTCGCCTAGTTCCCCTAAGGACCCAGGCATCGGTCTCCTGTCGTTGGGCACCCTCCATCTCTCAGGCTCATGCCTCCTGATCCTTCTTGGGGAGCCCAGTGTTTCAGGCATGCCCCCCTCCGGGCATCTGGTCCACCGTTTCTGGAACTTGACCCTATGCTCAGTTTCCCCCCTCCCCACCCCCAGAGCTCAGGTCTGGAGGGAGCCAAGGGGCTGGCCCTCACCCTGTCCAACTGGTCTTCTAGGATCTTGATCCTTCGCCGGATCTTGACCTTCTGATCCAGGATGAGTCCCGGGGCCCTGAAAGCCTTACTGTGGGTGAAGATCCGGGTCTCCCACTCCTGGATCTGGAAGAAAGAGGATGGTACCTATTTGTTGGCTGAGTGTGGCAGGGACTGAGGCACCAGGGAGGGTGAGTGGCTGGGCGTGGCTGCCTTCCGCCATCCTGTGGCCCCAGCGATCTGTTCTGTCCTTCTTCTGCTGGCGGCGCCCACCTTTCCATGTGGTTCTGGCTTCCGAACACAGCAAGCCGCCTTACCAGCCGCACGAGCCAGGTTCCCACACCCCCAGTGACTGTCCTAGGGATGGACATGCGAGCCAAGCTGAGCCAGCCTGACTCCCTTCCCCGTATTTTGGGGGACAGGCACGAGGTAGATGGACGGGACTCCAGGACTTCCGCTGTCCCAGTCCCCGGCGCATGGAGGGTCCTGGCAGGTGGAGGCCCGTAGACCAAGTGCAGACAAGAGACGGAGAGATGATGAGAGTGAGCCCCTGGAGCCATTGCATTTCCCTGGGTCTGGCTACTCGCGAAGCCATTGCCAACCCGTCCTCGTTTCCGTAGTCCTCTTTACTCATTTGGGGCGCGCTGTCTCCCCGATAAATTGGGAAGCTTCATGAGGGCGGAATGCTCTTTTCTGTGTCCCTAACACACAGTAGGTTCTCAATGAAACGTGCAGATCAAATGAGTAAGTGGGATGGCTTAAGGCTGTGTTTCTAATTTGTGTACCTTTATGGGTTGGGTTGTGTCCTGCCTCCCAAATTCATATGTTTAAGGGCTAATCCCAGTACCTCAGAACGTGAGCTTATTTGGACACAGGCTCTTTACAGAGATAATCAAGACGAAGTCATGACGATGTCGTGTGTCAGCGAACCTGGTGGTGGTGTCGTTATGCAAAGGGGAAATTTGGACCTAGAAGTGCACAGAGGGAAAACGCCACCCTCCAATACTTCCATCCTGGATTCCCAGCCTTCAAAACCATGGGACAATAGATTCCTGTCATTTAAGCCACCCAGAGCTTGTGGTTCTTTGTTACAGTGTCCCCTAGAAAACTGATGCCTCTGCGCAGGCACCCCAGAGCATTGCAGCAAATTCAAAGGAAGCACCGTGGGGATATTTTCAGGGGTTTTTTTAATTTAAAAAAAATTTTAATGTTTATATTCATTTTTGAGAGACAGAGAGAGGCAGAGCGTGAGCAAGGGAGGGGCAGAGAGAGAGGGAGACACAGAATCCGAAGCAGGCTCCAGGCTCTGAGCTAGCTGTCAGCACAACGCGGGGCTCGAACCCACAAACTGTAAGATCATGACCTGAGCCGAAGTCAGCTGCTTAACCGACTGAGCCACCCAGGCACCCTGATATTTTCAGTGTGGAGGGAGGCACACTGACATGGGTCAGACACCGCATGAACTACGAGCTCAAAGCAGTTCACAGGTTCAACACAAGACGGTGCTATGTTCCTTTTGATGACTCACATCTTTGTGAAACTGAGTTCCAAATATCCAGGGGTGGGGGGGGTGCGCCTGGGTGGGTCAGTCGGTTAAGCGTCTGACTTTCGCTTAGGTCATGATCTCGCGGTTCATGGGTTCAAGCTCCGCGTCAGGCTCTGTGCTGACTGCCAGCTCGGAGCCTGGAGCCTATTTCAGAGTCTGTATCTCCCTCTCTCTCTGACCCTCCCCTGCTCACGCTGTCTCTGTCTCTCTCTCTCTCTCTCCTAGAAATAAAAATATTTTAAAAAATAATAATAAAATAAAATAATCAAATGTCCAGAAATGTTACCAGTGGGGAAAACTGGCCAAAGTGTACAAGGAACCTCTCTGTATTATTTCTTCCAATTGCATGTGCATCTATAATTATCCCAGCAAAATTTTCAATTAAAAATGAAAGGAAGGAAGGAAGGAAGGAAGGAAGGAAGGAAGGAAGGAAGGAAGGAAGGAAAGAAAGAAAGAAAGAAAGAAAGAAAGAAAGAAAGAAAGAAAGAAAGAAAGAAAGAAAGAAAGAAAGAGAAAGAGAGAGAGAGAGAGAGAGAAAGAAAGAAAGAAAGAAAGAAAGAAAGAAAGAAAGAAAGAAAGAAAGAAAGAAAGAAAGAGGAAGGGAGAGAGGAGGGAGGGAGGGAGGAAGAAAACCGAGTACTGGACAGAAGTCAGCCCAGAGCAAGAGTGGTGAGTCCAGTCTGACTCTATGACCCAAAGGCACAAACATCCCACCGGTAGGTAATTGTGCTTGCTCTCCATCTCTCAAAAATGGATAAACATTTTAAAACATTTTTCTAAAAAGAATGAAATACAATTTTTTCTATTTGTATATTCATTTTCAAATGGTCTCTAGGTTGTTAGGATGAAAACACTAGTTTGTTTACTTTTTTTAAATGTTTATTTTTGAGAGAGAGTGAGACAGAGACAGAGCATGAGCAGGGGAGGGCCAGAGAGACACACAGTCTGAAGCAGGCTCCAGGCTCTGAGCTGTCAGCACAGAGCCCAACGCAGGGCTCTAACCCACGAACCATGAGATCATGACCTGAGCCGAAGTCAGGTGCTTAACCAACTGAGCCCCCCAGGCGCCCCAGGGACAGTGCTGTATAAGATAACCTAATGAATGGAGTGACATCCCTCATGCTGTATTTTCTTGCCCAGAATCAAGTCACAGGTTCTGCCCTCACTGAAGGGGAGGGTCTTACACAGGGGAGCGACTCCCTGGGGGTCACCTTAGGGAGAGAGTACAAGTTTCCCCTTATCTGAAAGTAGAGTGTTCCTATGAGATCCTTCATGAGCCCAAATGGCAGAAAGTGAAGAAGGGATGACCAGTAGTTTGTATGGGAAACAAAATGTATAGCATTCCCGGACCCCCCAAAAATAAGCTCGCTTAGGCTTGTCTGATACTTTCAGACACATTTTGCTAACAGCTGCACAAAATAAACCAAGAGAAAGGGTAGATGCTGATGGACCCAGTTCAAAGCTCTGGCAGCCAGATGCTCACATGCTGAGTGCTTCCCAGAAAGGAGCTTGCGGGGGGGACCCCCTCTCACTGCTCGGGGTGCAGGCTGCCTCTGACAGCTCGCTGTGAAACAAATGCTGAGTGCTATTTTTCCTTTTTTCCCTTTTTTTTTTTTTTTTTTTTTTTCTTTTTTTCTTTAATCTATCAAGCTTCTTTCAACAACCAGACCAAAACACGCCTAGGATCGAGCATCTTTTATTTGATTTCTTTGTGTTGTTTTTAATTTTTTAATTTTAATTTTTTTTTACTTTATTAATTCCTTTTCTTCCTCCAAAATAATGAAGCAAAGGAATTCACCCCAAAAGAAAGAACAGTAAGAAATGACATCCAGG